CTTTTAGAATGTTTCATTTTTTAAATTTATCTAGTGAGATGGGATAAAGAGTGTCAGGGAGGGGTGGGTGCATAGGTGTGGGGAGCAACTGGGACTAGGCTAAGTTACTGGAATTAAGACTTATTCTATGCATCTGCTCTCCCACAATATGGCGCTGGGAGAGGAGTAAACAACTTCACAGCTGCCTCCAGTTTGACCAATAACCTGCAGGAGCTGATCCTGCTCCTGATTGGAGGAGAGCAGCGTGCTCGGCGTGTGGGTAGCAGAGTTGGGATTGGTGGAAAAGGACTATAAAGGAGGAGAGACAACATGCACCTGGAACATCTATGGGGAACATCTAGCTGAAGGAACACCTGTGCAGCCCCCGAGAAGAGCCGGCCGGCGGTGTGCCGCTCCCCTGCGGAAGTGGGGAATGTGGCCAGGGGGAACTGCCCTTCCACGGAGGTGGAAGGGATAGTAGCCAACCCGGGAAGAACCAGCAGCAAACCCGGGGAGGGCCGAGCAGACGAAAGAACAGCGCAGGGTCCTGTGTCGTTCCTCCACGAAGAGGGGGAGCGACACATAGGAAAAAGCCCTCCTTCTTATCTTGGAGGACTGCAGGCAGCCTAATCAAGAGATTGACTCTGAGGGTCCCCACTTGCCTGTGCGGGTTAGATTTTGGTACATGTTTCATAGTAAGTGCAGTATGCTGAGTTACAGCCCCTGGCTTTACTGGTTCAAGTAACCAACAAGCAAGAGGTTTTATTTCTCATAATGTTGTCCTCTGTTCTCAATCACTGTAAATAAACCATGCTTGTAACTCTTTCACTGTAAGATGCAGGTACCGAACTACCAAGACCCAAAGGGGAAAACCCATCATTCTGAACAACTTTTAGAGAAAAGGTGAGTTCTATGAGTGCTTTCTTCTAGACATACCAAAGCACTGGCAAAAAGACCACCTGCTGTCTCACTGAGACACCACACAATGAAAGGTGGGAGGTTTGGAATTAGACTGCACACTGAGAGGCTTCCTAAGAAATACAAGCTCAGAATGGCAGAGAGCTCAGAGTTCACCCATTTTTGCCCAACCTCAGGCCCAGGTTGCACAATCACCAAAGACAGAGACAGAATCCAAACTCAGGCCTCCTGACGAGAGAATCACACCCTGCCAGCTTGACAGGGCCCCTTCCTAAAGCTCTCACCACAAACGCCAGCTTTACCACCAGAAAGTCTTCTCTTCCTCAATTCTGTGAGGGCTGCAAGTGACCTTCCAGACTCAAGTCATTCAAATATGCTGTTCCGGGTAGCAGAAGACTGTTGCTGAGTGGTACACGTGAGGCCACGCACACAGGCAGGCAGCGAGAGGACATTCAGGGGTCTGCCAGACATGGGGGCTGGTGAGGCACTATGAAAGGATCTCCCACCACTAACACTGGGTCCTCATCATACTGTAAAAAAGCTAACAGTTAAGAAGATTCCTGCCTGGCGCCCAGACGTGTACCCTGCAGAAAGTGACTCTGACTTGCCTTGGTGAGTGACACACACCATTCTATTTTTACTGAATATTTTCAACTCCAATCACCACCAGCTCTAGGCACTGCTGCCCAGCACATGCTCCTGAGCTCCTCCTGAATGGCCCTGGAGCTGAGTGCATGAACACCACTGTGCACGGCATCTTTGGGATGTGAAGGAAGCTGGGGAGAGCAATGACTCCAATAAAGGGGCTTAATGGAAAGGAGATGCTTTGAATTTGCCATGTCAGAAATATCAACATTTATGACATTTTGGTTACTCTCTGGGACAGATCGACGTGGCAGATTTCACGTGCTGAGACATGGACAGGGTGAATCCTCTGGGGCTTACTGGGAGATTAGAGCTGATTACCTGACACACATTTCCCTGGCCAATCAAGGCTTCTTCTCCAGGGAGTGCTTGGAGGGCAGTGGTTCTCAGCTCAGCTGCACGTGAGACTCACTGAGGCACAGCCACAAATCCCTTCCTGGGTCCCAAGCCCAGAGCATGCGAGGTCACATGGACAGTATCAAGACAACACAAATGAGACTGGCTGTGCACGAGTGGTGAGTGGTGCTGAATGCGGGCTCTGGTTGCAAACTGCAGTGTCTGCTTAGTCACGACTAAGATGCTGTGAGAAAGAGGAATGGCAGCTGGAATGAGACCAGTAGGGGCCATCAGACCTTAAGGCTGCCTATCTATAAAGGATGCCGGGCTTGGACAGCAGTCTTCTAAAACGAGCTTTTCCCACAAAATAGAGGATGTTTCTCAACGGAGCAATGTTCACGGTGGAGTCTAGTTTCAAACACAAAAATATCTCCCCAAAAACAAATTGTGTAATTAAATTTCTTGTTCATTTTAAATAAATTACATTTTCATTCTCTTTTCAGGTCACCTTTAGGATACACTGTGTGGCTGAACCAAAGGAACCTGGTGCCATGAATGCCAAGCACATGGCCCTTCAGCCCACAGCCACAAACAGCAGCGCAGGCTAGGCACCACTTACACTGAGTATTGGGCCCTTCTTGGCTGATGTATTTATACTCATTAAAATCCTTAAAACAGCTTCACATTTCCAAGCAAGTAAATACACATTTGATCTTAATAGGTATATTTTTCCATTTAAAATTTACATATTCTTAAATTGTTTAGACAAGAAAGTTATGGAACAATTACTGAGGCACTAAGGCTGAGAAAGTTTTGGACATAGATACTAAGGAATGTGCTCCTTCCTCCTATGTTTTCACAGCAGAAAGAATAAGAGACATTTAAGAAAACATCTTTAGAGATTAATAACAAGTGACAAGAGACAAACATGTAACGGCAGTGCCTTAAAGTTTGTATGTTTTGAAGTGTGGAAGGCAAGACACCTTGCTGATCTGACTTTGTTGAGAAGGTCTGGCCCAGCCACAAGGAGGATACACATTGACTTCTGCAAGTTAATTTGCTCAATGTCACATTTGTCAAGCCCAGAATGTTCTTAAAATGACAAGGGGTTCAGAATGCGATATTAGATGAGCAGATTCAAGTGGATGGCCAACAGCCTGGCACACACCAACGTATTAACAATCAAAAGGGCATGCACCCCTTCCACACAGAGGGAAGACAGGCAGAGGAAGGTGTGGGCCCAAGGTGGCAGAGGCCTCTTGCTCCCAGGGTCTGCTTGGGCTCCATTCCAGGATCTTTATCCCTTGTTGCTCAATGCTGCCTGATTTCCTGGACTTGAACCTGGACAGTATTCTCTGCCAGAGACTTGTCATAGAGCCCAGAGGTAATTTTCCCTCCCCCGACCTATAGTCTGTTACCGCCCTGGTCCTAACATTGCAATGGAACAGCTAATCTTCACTGCTTCCTTACATTCCAAGAAAAATAAACAAAACTAAGGAAGTAGGGGGAAAAGAAGACAGTTCCAGGTCCCCTGGAATGAACCACTGATGGCTGTTGGTTCCCTCAAGTCTTGCTCACCAGAGAAACAGCACCTCAGTGAAGAGAGCGCCCTAGAAGGTTTGGGAAGGACAGGGAACAGACTTTCAGGTCAGAGAATCAGAGAACACAAGATGGAACTGTCACTCAAAGAAAAGTGGGAGCCCAACCTCCCACAGAAGTTTTCAGGAGAAAAATCAACTGTGACTAGCGCTTGGTTCTTTCTCCTCTGTTAGCCAGCAGCTGTGAACACCAGCAAGTAAGAGTACACTGCAGGACAGGCTGTACAGAGAGAAAGTTTTCAGAACAAGCGTTATTTGTAGTATGCTTTACCAGGGCTCCTCTGGAGAACAGATTAACTCTAGGGGAAAAGTTGTGCTTTATTTTCAACTCAAACTCAAGGACAACTGTATGATGTAACTCTGGAAACGCTCTACAATGGGCTGAGACGGCACAGCATGGGTCTCTGTCTGAACTAAGAGTACAGGGGAAGTCCAATGATGCTCTTCACACACAGACAACTTGACCAAAGTGGACACGTCAGTTTCTGGTCAAAATCAGAAAAATCTCTGCCTTTCTCTTCAGATCTCTGGAGAAATAATAGCTTAATTCTTCCCATTGCTTACTGAGGTGACAAATTCCTATTTGGGTGCCCAGAAACCTGGAACGTGGTTGGGCCTATAATTAATGAGCTGAGCTGAGCAGTTGCCATGTTCTGTGCATGTGTCACTGGGGCCAATGGAGCTAGGGGATGGCCTCCAGGACGTGTCATGATGAACAGGTGATAAACAAAGGAAGCAACTAGAATGTTCCAAGGCTAATAGAAAAGCAATTAAATAAAGCACGGTATAGAAATGTTTTCTCAGGAATGGAAATGAAACTACAAGCACCCAAACCAGGAAGAACTGGCCACTATGCAAAAGTCTAGACCAGTGATGATCTGGTAACATTGTGTGGCTCACAGAACACACACTCCACCCTTTCTGCACTTCTGGAAGCTGCAGATCATTTCTTAAAAGTTTGTAAAGTCTTAAGTTAACTTTTTACTAAGATAAAAGATTAAACATGCACTGTACAACAAAAATAGAATGCAAGCTGCACATGTAGTTTAAAACTTTCTAGTAGCCATATTTCAAAAAGTAGCAAGAAATCTATGATTAATCCTAATAACACATTTAACTCTATGAAATACATTAGTATTTCACACATAAAGACTATGAAGTAACCATGCATTCTTCTTTGCACTGACATATGGTGTATACTTTCCACATGCAGAACACCCCCACCCCAACCGTCTTTCAAATGCTCAAAAGCCACATCTGTATACCGCTGCCACAGAGAACACAAAAGGTAAACATATACACTCTATAGGAAGATTCATCCAGACCCAGGGAGAAGCAGTCTTGCTCCAGTTACCATTATCTAAAGCAGCTGCCTGAGAATGCCAATGTTGCTTTGTTCAAATGCCCAGTTATCTCACTTTAAAAGCCTTTCTTTCAACAGTCTGACTGGGCCCCCAACTTTCTCAGGGTCCAGCTCAACACCCTCTTCCTGCAAGCTTTGCTGCCTGGGCCCTGATGATTTACCTTTGTGGTTGAAGATGCCCTCCATCTCCATGCTGCTTCTGGAGTGGGCGATGCACAGAGAGCCACAGGGGACCAGGCCTTCTGCTGCAGGGGACCGGTCGGTGGTTCGCACCAGGCACCAGTCAGGCTTGTCATGCGGCCGCTCCAGGACCTCCACAGTCTGGCCACGCCGGATAGTCAGCTCGTTGCTGTTGCAAGCTGTGAAGTCGTGGATCACCACTGTCAGCTCACAGCCACCAGAGAGCTGGGAGGGACAGAGGAAGAGGAACAGGTCAGTGAGCAAGAGCCAGTGGCCCACCCCAAGGGGAGCTGTGAGCAAAACCAGGAATTCCAGTTTCCAGTCAAGGTATCACTGTGCTGGTGAGAGCCCTGTGGCTGTGCTGCCCTTTTGTATCTCAATGCATCCACTGCAGAGCCCTGTACTAGCCCAAGTTCTCACCCGTGACTACAATTTTATAATGGTTTCACGTTGGAATCAGATGTAACTTCTCATGTAAGCCTCCAAATCCTTCTGCACCTGAGACATTCCATCTTCCTCACTAAAGGCTGTAGCTTTAGTTCTCAACTATGGTACATTAACAAATTCTGTGTAAAGGCTACCTGGGGGGACGACTGGGAACTTTGGTGATAAATGAGCTCAAGTTCTGCTCCCAACTGCCCTCCCCTAGTGGAGCATTCAGTCTCTCTGAGTATCACTTGGAACAGGAAAGTAGCAGCCCCCAGAGCAGGAGGTTGGAGCGACATGGGCTGGTAACCCAGGTAAGGGCACCATCTCATCTTGGCATCCTTAGCAAGCCCCCTCCCCACTGCTGAGGGTTCTCTTTGGTGCCACTCCCATTTCCCCATCCTAGGGCTCAATTCCCACTGGGCCTTCCATGAACCACTCAGAAGCTCCATGGCCATAGCTCATTTCGAACGTGCAGCATACCTTCTACACTTCCATGTCTGCATATGCCTCCACTCCTACCTGTTCTCTTCTGGTCTTGTCTTTTGAGTAAGAGAATCACCATAAAGACACCCCCGTTAAACAAGCCTCACTCTTCCCCTCCAGGGGCTGTCAGTCAGGCAGCTTTCCGAAGGTGTTCACTTGGGTTTCTGCAGTGGCCTCCTAAGAGGTTTGACTGACCCCACAATCTTCTTCCAAACCATCTAAACTCTACTGTCATCAGGTGACTACTTTTTTTTAAAGATTTATTTATTTATTATTTGAAAGGCAGAATTATAGAGAGGTAAGGGCACAAGCAGTGGCGGTGGGGAGAGGGAGAGAGTGAGAGAGGGAGAGAGATAGCAGTCTTCCATCCACTGGTTCACTCCCCAGATGGCCACAACGGCTGGAGCTGTGCTGATCCAAAGCCAGGAACCAGGAGCTTCCTCTGGGACTCCCACACGGGTGCAGGGGCCCAAGGATTTGGGCCATCTTTTACTGCTAGGCCATAGTAGAGAGCTGGATCAGAAGTGAACAGCTGGGTCTCAAACCAGCACCTATATGGGATGCCGGCACTGCAGGCGGCAGCTTTACCCACTAAGCCACAGCACTGGCCCCAGGTGACTCCTTAGGATGTAGATCCTGTGATCCAGACACATCATCCTCCTTTCCAAAACCCTCAGACACAACCTCCTTAGCACAGGACTCACGTTCCCATGGGTGTGTGTCCCTCACCTTCCTGGGCTCATTTGCTGACAGCTGGAATTACCCATCTCTCACTTCTGAGATGGATCCTGAACGCCCCTGGCCCACGCTATCCCTATACCTGGAGCCCCCATGCTCCTACTCTGTTTATTCTAAGCTCTTCATCAAATCCCTCTGGAGGGGCTGGCATCCCATACGTCTGCTGGCTGGAGTGCTGGCTGCTCCATTTTAGATCCAGCTCCCTGCTAATGCGCCTAGGAAAGCACTGGAAGATAGCCTAAGTGCTTGGGCTCCCGCATCCATGAGGGAGATCCAGAGGAAACTCCTGGCTACTGGCTTTGGATTGGCCAAGCTTCAGCTGTGTAGCCATTTGGGGAGTGAATGAGTAGATGGAAGATCTCCCCTCTCCATCCCTGTAACTCTGTCTTTCAAATAAATAAATTAATCTTTAAAAAAAAAATCCCTCTGGAAAGTCTCTTACCAACCAGTTTTCAGCAACTAATATTCAGTTTTGAAATAAGCCACATCGGGGGTGTGTCTGTATTTGTGTGAATGTGTTCTGTGTGTGTGTCTGCTTGCCCTCATCACCAGAAAATGGGTTTGTATCACTTCCTTGAACTTCCCATACCTGAACCCTAAAGACAGGACAGGGTCAGCTGTTACCACCAAGACCCTAGGGCCAACAGTAGGCTCACAGCTTGTACCAGCAGTTGATGGACAATCTAGATTCCCCTGAAGCCTGCCTTGCACAGTGTTGGTATCTAGTAAGAACTCAAGCATTTGCTAAGTGAAAAAGATAAAACAGGTTTTCTGTAGTAATGAAGGTCTTGCATTTGAAAAACTTAAACCATGGCTCCTTCTCTCTGACTGTGCCTGGGTTCGAGCTAGGCCAGGCCTGGTGGTGCAGCCACCTAAGGGCATCAGCACAGGCAGCCCACAAAGACAGAGGGTGCAGCTGGGCTGCCACAGTGCTGGAGACCATCCTTGTGGTGAGTGGGAGAAATTGTCCCTGAGGTGGGGGAGGAAAGAACTGGCTCACACTGGGAACACCCTTGTCCCAGACAGCCCACTGGGCACAAATCCACATGCAGAGAATGGGAGATCTGGGTGTGCTCCAATGGCTTCCACTCCTGAGTGTGCTCGGGGGCCACCCGCCATGCTGAGAACTGTCAAGTCTGTGCTGTCCATAACCCTCCCAATCTAAGTGGTGACTTTTAAAGAGAAAGTTTAGATAGTTGGGGGGGGGGGGGGGAAACATGACAACCACAGAGAAAACAAAACAAAACTCTTCCACAATGAAGCTCTAATGTCAACAAAATGAAGCATTTTTGCAAAGCCACAAAGAAAACTTCTACAAATGTTTAATCCCCTTGTAAATTATATAAACTTCCTCGTAGGGAACCATGATAATTTTACATAGATCTCTATGAACAAGGAAAGACGCTAACATTCAAAGGTCCAAAGTAGAGGGGTGAGAGATGTGGCCCAGTGGGTTGAATCACTGGGACCACTGCATCCCATATTAGAATGCCTGGGGAGCCGGCGCTGTGGTGTAGTGGGTAAAGCCTCCACCTGCAGTGCTGGCATCCCATATAGGTGCTGGTTTGAGATCCAGGCTGCTTCATTTCTTTCTTTTTTTTTTTTTTTTTTTTTTTTGGACAGGCAGAGTTAGGCAGAGAGACAGAGAGAAAGGTCTTCCTTCCGTTGGTTCACCCCCTAAATGGTCACTATGGCCAGCGCACTGCGCTGATCCGAAGCCAGGAGCCAGGTGCTTCCTCCTGGTCTCCCATGCGGGTGCAGGGCCCAAGCACTTGGGCCATCCTCCACTGCCTTCCCGGGCCACAGCAGAGCGCTGGACTGGAAGAGGAGCAACAGGGACAGAACCTGGTGCCCCAACTGGGACTAGAACCCAGGGTGCCGGCGCCGCAGGTCGAGGATTAGTCAAGTGAGCTGCAGCACCGGCTGCTTCATTTCTACCCAGTTCTTTGCTATTGCCTGGGAAAGCAGTAGAAGATGGCCCAAGTCCTTGGGCCTCTGCACCAGCATGGGAGACTCAGAAGAAGCTCCTGGCTTCAGATTGACACAGCTCTGGCCATTGCAGCCATCTGGGGAGTGAACCAGTGGATGGAAGACCTTTCTTTCTCTTTCTCTGTCTCTGTCTCTGTCTCTGTCTCTCTCTCTGCCTCTGCTCTGTATAACTCTGCCTTTCAAATAAATGAATAAATAGATCTTAAAAAAAATGCCTGGTATCCAATCCTACCTCTGCTTCTAATCCAGCTTCCTGCTAATATGCAATTTGGGAGGCACCAGATGATGGCTCAAGTACTTGGGTCCCTACCATCTATGTGAGAGACCCAGATGAAGTTCCAGGCTCCTGGTTTCGGTATGGGCCAGCCCTGGCTGTTGCGGATATATGGGTGGTGAACCAGGCAGATGGTTCACTCTCCCTCTTTCTCTGTTGCTCTGATTTTTAAATAAACTTAAAAACAAACAAAAGCAAAAGTGGAGGTGTGGGCTGGAAAGAACCTCCCTCTATAGCCTCATGCTTGTACAGCCCCATGCTGTGGAAGTGACAAATCCTTGAAACACAGAGGGAGAACCTTCCCACTCCAGGGAACCAGTGCCAAGCAACGACTGGCCACACAGTGCCGCTTGCCCAGGGGCCCCAGGACTCTGCCCTTCTCTGGAGCCTGTGGCCCAGCCACTTAGTTCCTTCATACAGCTTGTGCAGAGTGTGAGGAGCCCCCAGCCCGACCTTGCCAGGTTTCCCTCACAGCCCAGCCTCTGCTTGCCTTATCCTCCACAGTCTCACTCACTTTTCAGCTCTGTGATGGGGGAAGGGTGGGAAGGGGAGCATGGGGCTGTCCGGGAATGAGAATTAAGTTAGACTTTACTTCTGGCATTCATTTTTCTAGCCCCTTACAGAGTAATCAAAAAATATTGGAAACATCTGTGTCCTTGACAGAGCATAAAGAAATCCATCCTGTCCTCACAAAGAATCATTTACTATATTAAAAATCTCTTTTAAAGACTTTTGAGAATATAAGAAAACCCAGAACCAGAATAATATTTCAAACAGTGTTAAAATTATCATTAAAAAAATCTTCCCAATTAAACAACTGATTTTTACCTCTAAGAATAGGTAAGAAACCTATCATTAAGGGAAGAACCAAATGGGTGTTTTCTAGATCACAGAAAAGCTGTCCTGTGGATTCCGTCTCAGTGCACACACTTGAACATCTTAAACTTTTTAACTACAAAATGCCTCTTAAAAATCAGATCTATCTATGTAAAAGAAAATCTTTTTCTTTTTGTATAAAAATACTGTATTAACTATTTCAGGGAAGCAATGCAAATCATTATAGGATGAGCATCAATAATCCCAAAATCCAAACTACTCCAAAATCTAAGCCTTTTGGAGCTCTGATACGATGCTACGAGAGGAAAACTCCTCTCCTGGATCTCACATGTCAGGTCCCAGTCAAATCAAAGGTGAATTAGAAATACGATATGGAATTACCTGCAGGCTGTGTATAAGGTATACATGAAATCCTTGGATCAATGGATCCATGATTGAGACATGGGTCCTATCTCTAAGCTATCTCACTCTGTAT